AAAATCGTTTTATGACTTAATTTACTAAGCTAGTTAATAGGAAAAATTAAAAATATTTTCATTGTTTGCATTTTTAGTCTTCGTTTTGGCAATTGCAATTTTCGAGTGCACTGAAAAATAGAAAAAAATGTGTATTTAAAAATAAGAACCCATGTAATCAAGCAGCTATACTCCTTTATGACGGGTGCTATATTTTGCGAACTGGCCACCAAAATAAAATATAAAGTGCATTTGTTGTAATAATAATATCTATACAGAAAATATAATTATTAGGCAGAAATCGCCTGCAAACGGTATTTACTTGTGTGTTGTAGTTTCAATCATTCATTTTTACAGAAATAATTCCAAAGTAATGTCACAGTGAATAATTGTGACCCAACACCATTTCTTTAGTTAAATGGGCTGAAATGTCGTTTGATAGGGGTCCAGAATATAAGGTGTTAATTAAAAAAAAATAATAATGGACTTGGCACCTTTTCACCTTTAGGTAGCGATATATATACATACATATATAAAGTTATACATATTACTGTCGGATGCCGATAACCCGTGCCGACTTGAAGTTGAAGTTTTGGCTCAGAATTTTTACTGGATAACCACGCGTAGTATTTGTAAGTAATAAAATAAAGCACGGAACTTGAACATAACTAGGCGTTTATATTAGGGCTGTAAACCGCTCCAAAAATCGATGCGGTTCGGTTCAGTGATTCAAACCAGTGGTGCCTCAGCCTCCCCGTCCGGACGGGTCCCCACTTAAAAAATTGTTGTTTTTCTTCATTCTTCATTGATGATATTTGTACATATTATTCATATATATGAGGTTTTATTTTAAATCGGTAAGATATATTTATACATACATACGTATATAAAATACATGTATACGGGACGTTCCATGTCAAACGGACCAAAGCTCTGCCCAAAATTCCAAGGCGTAGAAATTAACGTAAAGCATGACGAAAGAATCGTAAATTTATAATGCATCGAATAAAAGGTGGCAGAATTGAAAATTCAGTATTAAGAAAAGGAAAAAGAACTCTTAGAAGACGCAATTTCCGTAAATGCCAGAATAAATTTGTCATTCAGTTGTCAGTTATTGGGTCAAGCCGAATT